GGCGACTCCTTTCCTTAAAACAAACAAACAAAAAATTGAACAGGTATCACAATAATTCACAAAACTGTTCATTTATTTCAACCTAAACATCTAAAAATTCTTACAGATTTTACTTTGATTTCAGAAGCCTTACAATATTTGGTGTTTATTTTTTTAAGGATTTTTTTTTCTTAAACCTTTTCTACAGTAATTTTTTGGGTGAAGACACCTTTTATTTTTTAGTGTCAAAGTTAAAGGCTTATTAAGACACTGACAATCATAATTTTAGTTTATCACGACTCTACAGTGAACTTGAAACACACTATCCTTAACCACAGTGAGAGATTTATTAATCTGGTTAGGATTTGTGTTCACAGTAAGTAAAAATAGAAATAGATATTGTGTTCCTTGATTCATAGAGATGAGTGATTTCAATCTTTCCCCTTCACTTCATCCTAATTCTCAATCAGTATACTTTTTCATTTCCAGATGACATCATGAAGAAACATTCTGTCACAAGTCACATTGAAACATTATTGAACTTTTAATTAAATTCAGGATTCCTCATTTTTAAGTTAAATTTACATATTTTTTGATTATTTTATTTTTTTCTTTTGCATTTGCAATTTTTTTTTTTTTAATTTAAAAAAAAAAAAAAATAGAAATTTTTTTTCATATAAAAAAAAAATTCTTAGTACAAAACTTAAGTATAGCATACAGAAGTGGAGACATATTGAAAATTAGTATTAAAAAAGAAAAGGTGATATAGAATCTTTTAAGCAGTTTTTCAATCAGCAATCCTTTTCAAGGGTTTATAAAATATCTGGCCTCTTAAAAGGGATTGCATCACATTTTTTTTCAATGATAATTCTTAACTGGTTTCCACTTCTTCATGTTATACATAAAAGAAACAGTAAGGCTAATAACAATAAGTATACTAAAAGATAAAGCAAATTACTAAAATTAGGGAAAAACAGAAAGTGTAGAAGATGACCAATGACTGATAACTACAAGTAAGAAAAATCCTGAATAAAAAGAAAAAGGATAATAAAAATAAAAGAAAAAGGGGAAAGGAAGAAAGTAAAATGAAAATATGATCATAAAAAGTTAAAAAAATAAAAGAAAGAATTTGAATGGGAAGAAAAATAAGGCAGTTATAGAATTGATACTTAGAAGTGAAAGACCAAGGAGTTAATAACAATGAAGATGTTGACAATGGAGCATGATAAATAAAAGCTTTTTTTAAAAAAAAAAAATAATGTAATATAGGAGAAACAGAGAATGCTAGAGAAGTACAACACTACAATAGAAGAATGATTGTGAGGAGTGAAAAAAAAAACTTTAGCAATACCAGCAGATCACAGACACAAATTCATAAAAAGAGAAAAAAATGAAAAAGCTCTGATAGGAGACTCCTCCAAAATACAGAATATGAATGAAAGCCATCTCAATTGCCATAGAAGTGTGAGAGAAAATCTGAGTATCTCTTTAAAAAACAAAACAAAACAAAACAAAAAAAAAAACTATAATGCATCATAAATTAAGCAATAGAAATAAAATATATTTATATATAGTACTACTGACTTTGGCAAGATTATCAAAAAATTTAAATTTTGTCGCTAGTATTTCTTTCATCATATTTCTGTTATATTTTCTTTTATTGCAACTTTCACACTTATCCTACAATTACTACTAAGCAATGTAGATCAGAAATAAAACTCTGGCAAGATTCAAACTTGGTACTTTGTAAAAAAAAAAAAAAATAGAAAAAAAAAAATAGAAAACTAACAATGGTTCATCCAAGAAATTCAAAAAATACACATTGTTGAAGCTTCCAAAATAACAGCCATCACTTGATCTCTTCCAATCTATATAAATAAAACGCAGTGTATGTATGTCCATCCATTCATCTGTTTTTTGATCTCAGTGAATCATAGACAACCTGAAGTAACAAGTAGTAACTACTGTAGCCATATGCAATTAAACATTAATTAAATAAACTCATTTAAAGTTAAATTTAAATATCGAACAGAGTGAAAGGTTTCAAAAATAATTCTTTATTAAAAATTTAACTTTAATTTCACTTTTCATTGCAATTAAAATAGATATCATCTAATTAAACTGCAATTAAAACTTAAGCAGGGTATGGTAGGTTGCTCATATGTTTTTTTCTTTTTCTAGCACATGTCTTGTGATATTTTTCAAAATATTACATAGTTTGGGTTCCTTGATGTCTTTTAAGAGTGACTTAATGTGAAGGGATCATAAAGAATGGTGATTTTAAAAGAAAATAAAAATTACTTGCAAAATAAATGCAAACAAACTACGGAGATTGGTTGCGTATACAAAGAAAGATTATGCCAAATTAAGGTGTTGAATAAAAATAAAATAATTTTATTATTTATAAATTCTTATAACTTTTACATACATAGGACACTGAATGTAAAAAACCAAAAGCCCTCTGTAGGAGGTAGCCTAAAGTCTGACCGAAGGGTGGCCTCTAGGCTAATACATAAATAAATAGTAAAATGTTACCAATATCATTAATATCCTAATTATTGAGAAGACACTGTAATTTGATGTTGAGAAGCCATAGACAAAATATCTGAGAGAATGATTTTCAATTGAGATATGAAAAATGATATACGAATATAGATAGCAGACTTAATAGTGGTTAGTTGAATGAAAACAAAAAAATGGAAAACAACATCAAATGCTTTGCCCTTTGAAATGTTGGTTAGAATTTTACATTGAGAAACACTGAAGATACAAAGATCCTTTTCTTTATGTGCCTTGTCTCCTCAGGACGTAGGCGATCATGGCTCTCCACAACTTCCTGCCCTTTGTAGTTCTAAATAAATTTTGTCTTTCTCCTAAATCTGCCGTCCATTTAGCCAAGCTCACTAAGCATTTTCTGTGTTGTTTTCCTCTGTCCTTCTAACCCTCATTCTATCTTGTGAGTTTCAAATTTCCCAAGCCTTCTTTCCTCATTATCTGCCCTAGAAATTTCAACTGTCTCTTCCTGATGTTAAGTATAAGTTTCCTTTTTGTTTCCATTTTCTCTAAAACTTTGATATTGCTCACATATTTGGTCCATGTTATTGTTATACCTGAACGTACCTATTCTATTATTAATAGACTCTCCCACACATAATAAGTAGTAGTAGTAGTAGTAGTAGTAGTAGCGGTCGCCAGTTGAGCTCAGTGGAGTTGAATGAGTCAGTCGATGTCGGACATTGAAGTATCAACCATCACAACTAGATTGCTGCGTCATTAACTCTTATTTCAAGTTCCTAACGTTTTGTATGTCGAACCCTTTTAGGACCGATTTAGCGAAATACAAGCCTCCACTGTGAAAACTACTCTACAACAGGTATCCTCAGCATCCAATTTATCCAGGTGCATAACCTAGCTGACTTCATTTTATCACTTTCGTTTTGAAATATTCCACATTGTAATAGCAAATAGTTTCATTAAGAAAAGAGATATGTTGTATTATCCTGAATGTAAATTTACAATGTATCTCCTAACAAAATTACAGCTATTAAAGTGTGGGATATTTCAAAACAATAGTGATAAAAACAAAAATGATAGGAAGTTGACTTAGTTATACATCTGAATACATTGCATTGGTTGAAAAAAAAAAAAAAAAAAAAAAAAAATGGATTTGCATTGGCTGAAAAATTAAAAATTTTAATTTAAAGCCAAGTCCTTGAGTATCTTCAGCATTTCTTGTAAAATCATAAATTTTTGTTGTATTTCTTGCCTTCTCTTATAAAAAACTCCATCGATAAGACACTTATTAGATGGAAGAAATCTTTTCAAAGGAGAAAATGCATTCATGTAAGATTTTTTCCAGTTTGTCATTCAACTACCCATTATTAAAATAAAAGATGTGGACCTTTTCCTTTTTCATTTTTTTTAATATAACATAGCTTCCCTGTACCTTTTCTATAAATACGTTCATGAACTTTCCTCTAGGGTACTTAGAGTTTTTGAATTTAAGCACAGCACTAGATTGGTGTCAAGGTTTCATCATTTTACAGTGGAAATGGCTAGATGCAACTGTAAGTTCTATGTTAACAGTTTCTTCTATTGCAATTTTCACTTGTGGAACTCTTATCCGGCTTCCAGTCAACTTTGATCAAAAAATTTAAATGCAATATCAATTATTGTCTTCTGTCTTTTCAATTCTATTTTATTCTTCTTTCTCTGTAAGTGTTATTTTTTCCTCATATACTCTAACACTTAGTAACCCCTTGCATCTTAGTGGCTTTATTGCCTTGCTTGGGAAGAAATGATTAAAAAATATATTCTGGTCTACCTCGTGTTTTATAATGTAGTTGTGTAGTCTGGATACTACAGAGTTTATTTTACTTCAGCTATGCTATTTAACTTTGCTATAGCTAGTGAAATAAAACATGAGAAATATATTCTCCTATGGTAATTTTAGGACCAATAAATTTTAGTTGATTAGTTCATATTTATCTTTTATATTTTGAAAGCAAAAATAAATATGGGATTTAACAGTAACAGAGGAAAGAAAAAAAGTTAAAGTATAACAAGAAAATAAAGAACTTTTAAAAATAAAAAGAAAGATGAGAATAGCATTTTTGAGTCAGTCTTCATGAACACTACTATAAACGATTTGTATCTAGGAATAGAAATAATAATAATAAAAGAGATCTGTGACAATTCTGTAGTAACTGTAGACATCAAAGGCTGCACCATCTTTTCTTTTTAGAGTATTGATTGATTTGTTTTTTACAGCTTATTAACCTTTTGCAGGTTATTTAAAGCCAGAAAATATTTTTTGATTGTAAAAATTTTTTTGGAGATAATAATCATTAACTGATAGAAGTCCTACTAATTAACCCATAACTAGGGGGAGAAGGGATGGATTCATAACTTTTCCAAGCATATTTGAGTGTGAGTGAGTATAACTAACCCTACTGGAATTGGAACTTGGCTCTCCAATTTTCAATTCTGAGCCATTATCCGTTAACCACCTGCACATTCAAGTACCTGGTATTCCCAAGTAGTCACCCATCAAGGTACTAACCAGGCTCAACATTGCTTAACTTCGATGATCAGAAGAGAACCAATGTTTCAATGTGATATGGCTGGGCTGTAAGCCCTCTTTTTATAGTAGCAATGTCGGGGATAAAAGATTCACAATAGTGATTTTGTAAAACTTACCTGAGGAAGAAACGAAATTTTTTTTTTTTTTTATTAAATCAATTCACCCCAAGCAAGGCAATAATGCCACTAAGATACTAGGAGCTACAGGGAGTGAAAGAGAATGAAAAAGATTTTAGAAGGAACCAGAAACCCAATCATAAACAGGAAACAAGGGATAAACCTCTACTCCTGAGGACAGAGATGAAATGTTTATCATTCATAATTATATATTGAAAGACAGACAAAAAAAAAAAATAAAGAAATAAAAAAAAAACAAAATTAAGGAGAGAATGAAAACAGAAGGAAGTTATGTGTAGTGATGGCAAAAATAAATAATAATAATAATAATAATAACAAAAAAATGAAAATATATTTTTCTGATAAAGATATGAAAGAAAATTCTAGATTATGGTATTGCCAAAATAAAAATAAAGATGATAAATAAATTTATTTGCTTTTGTTTTATTTCAAATATAAGAATGTCTCACAATCGAAGAGGATATTTATTTTTTACTTATTCATTCACCAGTGAAAGCAAGATACAAACACACATGTCAGGTTAGATCAGAAATTGTCATTAACAACAAATGTCCTCACACACCAATCACATGACAAACACTTATACGGAAAAGTTTACATCTACAAATGCAGTTGCATTTTTGCCGGTAATTTCTTTTGCTCAATACTTGAAATCTATCATAATAAAAAAAAATGCTTCTTGGAAAAATGTTGGTAGTAACAAATTAAGAAAAAAGAAAAAAATATGAAAATGAATCATTTTAGCGCGATTTAACCAAAGAGAAAAGTCACAGATCAAGACTAATTTGGTATTAAAGACTTTTTTTTCCAAACCTGGATTGTAAGTCATACATTTTTTTTGTAATGAAAGCTGCCACACTTCTGAAAAGTGTGGCAGCTTCTACAAAAGTTTTCACCACTAATCAAATCATGTGACAGTAGTCTGGCAGTTAAGTTCTATAAAAATGAACTGTTAAGTCCTTATACATCAAAATCAAGAACAAAGTTCACCATATATAAAATGTGAGTGTGTGTGTGTGTGTGTGTAAATTAAAATGTATAATGCAGAAGTTTCTTGTATATGTTTCATTTAGCAAGACTGAAAAGCACTTCCTCATTTCTTTTAAATTTTTTTTTTCTTTGTATGACATTGTTCAGTGTTTGATTACTTTTTATGACAGTTTTCTATGAAAAATATTGTCAGCCTTTTTTAAAAGAAATGTATAGTTACTTTTTGTTTGTTTCTTGATTGGATTGTAATTTTAAAATTTAACACATGTTCACATAACAAAAATTTATGGTTTAAAAATACAGATAATTTTTTTTTTTTGTCTACTAAGCATTTTCATGACAATGCTAGATTTCAAGTATTGGTTATTTATTTTTGTTTTCTTCTTTATTTCACTTTCTTTAATTTTTGTATATATTTTTTTCAAGTGTACCCTTATCACACACATTCAATCAACCCTTTCTTTCATCTCCAGTTCTTTGAGGAGCAATGGGCTGCTATTGCCAAGCTAAATTTATAGAACTAACTTGTTAAACTGCTTTTTTTTGTTTTGATGGGTATTTTATTTATTTTGTTCTTATGTTGATTTTCTTTTTCTTTTTTTCTTTTTTTTAAATGGTTAAGATATTTACAAGATTGTTAAATCGCTCTACACCTCCCCTGATCTACAAGAACATTTTGGTGTACACTTTAGTTTCTTTTAGTTTCTTATGTACAAATCACAAAACATTGCACACTCTTTATTATTTTTAAATAAGTAGTGAGTGGTTGGTATTCTTGTTTCTTATTAAAAATTTTTTTCTTGCAAGGTAGGCATGGAATGGGTGGGTAGGTTAAAGAAAAAAATCTTTCTCATATATATATATATATATATATATATAAGCAAATATATGGATATAGATCCGACAGTATGAAGAAAAATATACGGAAAAAAACAAACAAAAATCCTAATATGCAATTATGCTGTTTTAATGTTAATATAATGTCAACGTCGGACGTTTCGATCTAGTAGACCATCTTCAGGACATATTCATAAAACATAATTAACATTAGACTATGTTTAATTCAATATGAAAAGACGATGGACATAAGAGTAAAACTAATCAAAACAGACAACTGAAATTTTTCAAGATCAGCGTTCCGTTTCAATATGATCATGTCGTAATCGTCATGTGTTATGTTTTATGAATATGTCCTGAAGATGGTCTACTAGACCGAAACGTCTGACGTTGACATTATATTAACATTAAAACAGCATAATTGCATATTAGGATTTTGTTTTTTTTTTTGTTTTTTTTTATATATATATATATATATATATATATATATATATATATATATATATATATATTATTCCTTTTTTTTTTACACAAAATAGAAAGAAAAAAAATGGATTCAATTTTTTCTTTTTTTTTTTGATTAGGAAAGAAATTATTATATCAGTTAAGAAAATATACATTTTTTAAATTTAATTTTGAAATAAAAAATGATTAAAAAAAAAGAATAAATAAAACAGAGAAGTGTCCCAACTGATAAATTAAAATGATAAAGGAAGTAAAATAAAAATTAAAACAATAAAAATGTAAATTTTAAAAAATCCAAAAAACAAAGCAAACTGAAAAAAAAAGAAAAAAAAAGAAGAAAGTATTTGAATTAAAAAATAAAATAAAAATAAATAATAAAAATAAATAAAACCAAAAATCTACAGGTGACCAAAAAAGAAAATAAAAAAGATATTTCAGGAGAAATAATATACAAAAAAATTTGATATTGGTGAGCTTTATTTTTTATATTGTCAAAATCCATGAGACTGCAGATTAGGACAAAATCCTTTGTATGAAGTAAAAAGGCAAGCACTTATTTTCGAAAATTTAACCAAAAAAAGGAAAATAAAAACAACAAACAGACCCAAGTATCATTTATCTAAGTTAATCTTTAACTTGGTTGCATTTGCTGTAAGCAAAAGATGTTAAAAAATTTAGCACAGAAAAGAAATCAGTTCACAAGCAGATATGGTATATAAAACAAACCAACTGAACTTATGAGACTGTAGGAAAAAAAACATTATTTTTACTTTATTATTGACATTGGAATTCTATATTTGGAACTGCCATTGGATTAACAATGTATTTCTTTCTATTCTTCCTTGCTGTGAGATTTATCAGAAAACTTTACAAAAGCTTACAAATTAGAGTTAACTGTGAACATTTGAATAGAATTTCAAACGTCTGATGTTTCTTACACATAAACCTTTTATTGATTTACTGATGTCTTTTTTTTAATGTGTAATGGTTATAGGCATAGAAAGTGAACTTGCTGAACTTGAGTTCACATTCTGTCTTCATCTGTTGCATTCACTTTCATACAAATACTCATGGAAAAGACATGAATAGCAGAGGGTAATCTGTAATCTCAAGTCTTAGGTGGCAGGCAGTTTAGGAAAAGGAAAACTAAATTTTAAACTATGAAGAATGGAAAATTTTAAACTATGAAAGTATGGGAAAATACTCCACTATAATACCCAAGAAGCTATGGAAATTCACAGATAACAAAGAAAAAGGGAATCTGTGGAGTATCATGATTACCTACATCTAGAATGGACATGGCATTATAATAAAAATATTTTTTTTAACTGTCAAAAAATTTATTTTGCAACAATTTATCTCACTATTGTTTTTTTTTATTGCATTTATAAACTATTTACATCTTTTTAACCTTTAGCACTCTGCATTATTAATATTACTTTCATTTTCACTGTATTCTTTTTCAAGGCTTCTTAACTATAGTAATCTTACTGTTAATTTCAATCAAAGGTGTTTTCTGTTGCTATAGAAGGATATGACAACACAACTATGAAATTCAAACATACTATTGTTCAGGATCAGAACCATCTTTAGTGGCAGGATAAACTTCTTTTTTTTTTTTTTTTTTTTTTTTACAGCAAGTCACATAGTGATAAAGGTTAATAAAATATTTTTTTTTGTTTATTCTAGAAAAGATAAAAATGTAAACCTACACAAGAACTGTTATTAATTGAAATTAGAATTAAAAAAAAATAGTATCTAAGTTTACAGGGAAACTGTTAGAACAATGCTTGAAAGATGTATAATCATCAAGAATTGGTCAATTAAAATGGTAATGGTAAGATTAGCCATTTTCATACAGGAAACATGAGGCATTTATTGAACAAACAGCATTACTGTTGGTTGAAATTTACAATATCTTTCTTTATTAAAATATTTTTTAAATTTTTTGTTTTAGAAAATTTTGGTAAAAAATATCTTTTTTTTCTTATATGTGTTACCTCCCCACTTATTTAATTTCATGAAATAACTTTCTATTTCCTGAATTTTTTTTATTAGTTAAAAGTAGGACCCCTTGGAAAATGTAAATCATCTAATTATTTTTTTCAAACTTTCACTATTCTAACTGAAAATCTGCTCTGAATAGTAAACTAAAAAAAATGTAATCAAACTATGACATTATTTAATTAGAAAAGCTTTTAATTGCTTTTGTAAATAAGTTATATAAAGGACACTATTGTCTGAAGAAATGAAATTTTTTCAATGAATAATGAATTTTTACAAGAATGTTTTCATTTTTTAAAAATTCTGATTATAATAATTTATAATAGTTTAAAAATCATTTAAAATTCTGTATTGGGCTATTTCCTGGATGTGATATTGTAATTAAGTGGAAATGAAATTTACAAATCCAAAATTGAAAAAATTAATAAACATTGTTTTACTATTCTATTTTTAAAATTGTTCCCTTTTTTCATCTATGATAGCCTAAACATGTCATTATTATGAAAAGGTCACGTGCTTGGATTGAAAAATAGAAAAATTTTTTTAGATAATGTTAATTAAAATTTATTAACTATTAATGATTAAACAATATTTTAATTATTATAAAAATAGTTCCAGATCAATGTGTTAATTTTCTTGCTTACATATCTTTATTTTAATTTCATTTGTTATTAAATTTTAAAATTAATATAAGAAAATTTTATACTTTAAAGTGTTTTAATTTTTCATAAAGCATCTTCAAACGTAATTAAAAGTCAATAAAATATTAGATAATTGCTGAAAATATGTTAATTTGTAAAAATTACCAGGTAATTAAAAACGAAAAATGCGTTCACTTAGATTTTGTAAATTTATGTCAATTCTGGTCATCCATACTAGCTGTCATCACCTCAGATCAAAGAAAATCAGGACCCATTGTTAAATGCTTGTATATTACTTTTTTATGCTGTAAGTAATATTTAATTTAAATCAGATTAATTTAACTTTAAATTTGCTAATTTTACTCAAATAACCTGTCACAAATATATATTTTATTTTTGGAAGATATTTAAAACCTATAAATTTCTTAAAATTAAGAAAATTTTCTAAAATTGGCCAAAAAATTGAGATTCTGATCTATATAATTTTTATTTGAATACATAACATTTTACTTACTGGAAATAGTAAATAGTAATCATTTAGCTTTAAATTAAAGCTGAAATGAAATCTTCAAGAATGCTTTTTCATTTTTTAAATTTAATTTTAAATCTTAGGTATCGAAAATTTATGCCAAATGAGTGAAAGTACCTACATTAAAGTAACTATTAGGGTGTATCAGAAGTATGTATTTTTTTTTTAACAGATCATTACTGCAAAGTTTATTTCATGTGCACACCTAAAGACTAACTCCACTATATTATTAATGTGATGATGGGCCCTCCTGTCGATTTTGACATATGACCTGAATATGTCCACATATTGTGCAACAGCAAGGATCTCGGGACATAGTAATGGGAATATTTAATGACACTTTTCGCTGTTGTCTTTTATTTCTTAGCCAGTCAATATGACTGATTTTGAATTTTCTGATACCACTCTGACACAAATATCTCCAGTTGTTTCTATCCAGGGCAACTCAGTTGAAGTTAGTATAATATTTTAAATATATATATATATATATATATATATATATATATATATACACACACACACACACACACAATGTAATAAAGAGCTATTATATATTAATATACATATTATTTCTCACTGCTAACACAACTCAGAGTTCCATGCACAATAAATTCAGCTGCTGAATATGGGCTGACCATTGTGCAATTTGAATTTTTTTTTTTTTGAATTCAAATTATGTAAGGGTCAGTCCATTCTCAGCACCTGAAGATTGCATTGTACATGAAACTGAGTTGTGCTAGCTGAATGAATAATATATATATATATATATATATATATATATATATATATATATAAAATTAATAAGTAAAAATAAAGATTGATTATGCCTAACAAACCTTGTCAAACAGGAAACTGCTAGAGGGTAATGCATTTAAGGTGAGCAGATTTTATAAAAGTTCTTGATTTTCTACATACAATGTATGAAAGCACGTGTGATACCCTGACTTCATAAGCCACCAATCAGGGGAGGTAACAGTTTCAGTGGCTAAGGCAGTACTGCTTCCCCTGGTGTCACCAGCAGCTTTATTTCTTAATATCAAGCATACCTAATACTAAGAAATAAAGCATTAATAGTGAATAGATGAAGAAAACATTCAATGATATACCTTCCGACTCAGAGTTTCACAGACATAAGTCTGCCCATTGTGGGTAAGATAAATCAATTCAAAAGTTTAGAGCTAAGATAATAGATTTGTCTTATTCCCTCAACATGCAAAACCAAGTCAGAAGTCATTGAACATTTTATTTACCCATGCACAATATAATCTCATTATCAATACTATTCAGCTGTTCTTTTTGTTTCAGATGTTATCAGGATAGAGACAAGTATTGAAATCATAGAAATTTTGATGCATTATTTTAAACTGTACATGAAAACTGTTGGAGCTACTTACAGAATTTGAGAAGTGAAAGTAAATAAAACAGTATTTGACCATACTACCAAAAAAAATGGTTGAAAATGTCAACTGTTCGTCCAAGCTTTGAATATAGCTGCCGCATCTGGTCTAAAGCTTCTGCTTATGTATTTAGATATTCTTGATAAAATACAAAGACTCTGCAATGTTATCGGTCCTAACCTGGCATCTCAACTTCAGTCACTTTCCCACTGATGTAATGTAGCTTCCCTGTGCTTTTTCTATAAATATTTTCATGGTAATTGTTCTGATGACCTTTCATCTTTGGTACCTAGACTTTATGAATTTAAGCACTGTTGTATTGTGTTGTTCTATGACATGTAATCAGTAGTCAACTTCTGTGTGTCTCTTACTTTACTATACACATTATATCTCTTCTACTTAACATATGCAAAGAGGTACAATCCTATTTACCAATCCACTACAAACATAGTACTAGATTGATCACAAGGTCTCATCATTTTACATTTGTAATAGCTAGATGTAACTGTAAGTTCTATGCTAACAGTTTCTTCTATTGCACTTATCACTTGTGGAACTCTCTTCTGGCTTTTTGCTTTCCAGTCAAATTTGATCTTCAAAAATGTAAATGCAATGCCAATTGTTATCTTGTGCCTTCTTAATTCCTGTTCTTTTATTGAATTCTCTCCTTAATAATGTTTTTCTTTTTTTCCTATTCTCTCTCACTCAGTAAGCCCTTGTATCTTACTGGCTTTATTGCCTTGCTTGGGGTGAAATAATTAAAAAAAAAGAAAAGAAAAAAAAAATGCATTTTAAGGATGCTGACTTGTCCCTTGAAATAAAATCCAGAAAAGGATGATGACCATCATTTGTCAAGGATAATACCTTAAAATACAAGATAAACAAGAACCCAACCATCTGCACTTGAAAAATTTCAGAAGAGCTATGTTCATCAAAAAATATCACATCCAGAACATTACAAATACATAAAAGAAAATAATTCAGCTCTGAAGAGGTTCCCCATGAACTTGAGATTGAAAATACTTTTGATATACCCCAATATAATTTATTTTTATTTCAAAGTTTATTAGATAAATAATACTCAAATCCTTAGTACATTTATCTGAAATTATTGAAATACTACTCGACAGACAGACATCTTTTAAATTCTCAGGTTGTTACTGCAAATACTAGAATATCTGTTTAAGACTCTTCTTCAATATGTCTTCCATGTTACAATAAAAAGTTTATTAATAAAAATTCAAAACCTGCATTCTTTTTAAATTTACAAGTACAATTCATTAAATACATTTATATGTACATCTTTTTCAATATTATTTATAATTATTTTCAGTTTTGTTCTTTTTCAAAGTCTCATGAAGAAATAATTGGGCAAGCTTTATTTTTGATTGTTAAGATAATAAAAAAAAAGATAAAAATATATCAACTTGTAATAAACAGAGATTGGACATTTTAACTTTAATAATTCTTCATGATGAAAAAATGAGATGAAGCCAATAAAATATTCAGAAATTAAAACAGGAATCCTGAATTGAAATAAACTTAAGGAATTTGTAGGGAGAAGAATTAAATAATAAAACTAATTTTCTTTCTAGGGGACACCTAAGATAAAAAGGCAAAAAATGGATGAGATTAATTTTTCAGTATAAAAATTGTATTAAAATAAAAATAAGGATAAAAATTCAAAAGAAAAAAAATGAAAAGAAGGAGATGGTGACAGTAACATGAATAGAAAGAAGTTGAATTTGAAAATATTAAATAAAATGAAAAGCAGAAGGATAAAGAGATGTGCAAGAAAAACAGTGAGGAAAAAAGAAAGAGAAAAGGAAAAGAGAACAGCAAATTTGAAAGAGAGAAAAGAGAAAGAAGATAGAGAGTTGGGGAAAGAGAGAGGAAGAGAATGATAAGGAAGTGGACTAAAAGTCTTTGGTTGTTTACGACAATACAGTAATTCTCAAATTTAGAAGTGCAAACCATTTTCACATTTTAAAATATGTTTGTAAATTTTTAAAAAACTTGTACCTACAATATAGGTTTCATAACCTACAACATAGGTTGCATAACTTTCATTTTGTTTGTGACCAGACAATTACAACATATTGGAAGATTGCTGTCAAATCAAGAAAAATACCGAATCCAAAGCATGAGTTGCAGTGAGAATGACACAATGTTCAAATAAACCTGTCATCACTCAATATCACAGCAATTGCTAAATTCAGTTTTCACCTTAACATTTTTAATAAATTAAATAAAAATTTTCATAGAAAAAGAAAAGAAAAAATCTATCAGAAGGCAATTTGATAGAAAAGAAATTCAGTTTTTGAAAAAGTTAAATAAGCCTATGCACTGTTAAAAATGTTAATCATTGTTGTTTAATAGACAAAAATCTATCTTCCAATTCCTGTTGTTCAACTCTGTAATTTTGAATAAATAATTAAATTTGATTTTTTGATGATCTCAGTAAATATAACAGATCAGAGAAAGAGAGAGAAAAAGATGAGAAGCACTGAGAAAATAAAAAAAGGATAAGAATAAGAAAAAAGAAAATTTGAGAGTGATAAAGGATGAAGAAAATCAGAGAAAATAAAGATAGATAACAATATAATGATAAAGAAGAGGAGAAAATGAGAAGAAAAGGACAGGGAGTTAAAAAGGAAAAAAAAATGTGTGACCAATCAAACAGAAATAGTAGGGGAATGTCCTCTAAAAATTATTGTTTAAAAATAATTTTTCTTTTCTTTCAATTCAAAAGGAAGGAAATCAAAATGTCCTCCCATTTTATAATATTATAGAAAACACTACCACCACCACCACCATTATAATCATAAAAATCATAGACAACCAATCTATCAAAAGAATTGGATTACAGATGAATTTTCCTCTTAAAAAATATACAAAAACAAAACATAAAAATGAACAATTTTTTTTTTAAATATTCATTTTCTCTTGTTGTTTTTTTCTTTTAAAATTTTGTAAAATAATTCTTTTAAGAATTTTTCTTTGAAAAAATTAAAAGAATTTAACTGAAGAAAGACAGAAAGAATTAAAGAAAAAAGTTTGAGCATAAATAACATAAATTCTTTGATCTTTTTCATTGGAAGAAACTAATCAGTTTCTTTTTTGTTTTGTTTTTTAAGGTGGGTCAGAGTTTGTTTTTTTATTGTTACATATGAGTAAGTATGTATTTAATCTGTGTTGGAAGAGAAGACAAAGGGAGGTAATCAGTGGCTTACAGCGACCACAGTCCAATAGCATTGCTATCATGGCTGTCTTGACACTCTTGATGTCATTTTGTGCATACAACAGGCTGGAGAAGGTGCAGCTCAGTGCCTTGTGTCAGAATGGGGAAATGATTGTCTTTGTGGTAGTTTACTAAATGGCTGATACTTTCAAATTTACAATCCTTTGTTCGAACCTGAAATGAAAAATTAAATAAGATATATATGTATTACTGCACAGAAAACTTGTTAAAACTGATTATATCAATAGAGCCTGTAGAAATTTGTTTGATTAGCATTAACACTTTGAAAAAAAAAAATCAATAAGAGAAAAAACAATCGTTATTTACAGTTTTAAATCATAAATTATACAGTTTTAAATTTATATAAATTTGGGTTGATACACAAGAGCAAATTCTGAGTTTGTGAACTTTTTGCCTTACTACTGTTGTTTTGCCTTCTTACTGATAATTTGCCTTGCATATATTGTTTGCTTGCTTTGTATTATTCTTGTCTCTGTTCTTTTCTTTTCTTGTAATTGTTTATTGCAAGCTTTGAGAAATCTGTTTGTTGGGGACTTCTGTCATTTATTTATTTATATTTAACAATGGACACTCACTCTACAGATGAAAAAAAAAACACAAACTTATGTTATTTTTTATAAATACAAAATTTTTTAAAAAATATCACTGCTTTGTTCTCTTACATATATTTTACAAAAGCCTAGATGTGAAAGAAGATAAAGGGGTTTGTGTCCAATTACTGATTATGTAAATTATCTTAATCCTGTTAGAAGCTTAGCCTGGGTTCTTTAATTTTTTAATCCGAACAGAATCCAGAATAAACTAGAGAAGTATGGTAAGACTTGTATACTTTAGTATTTTCTTCTAGAAAAAGTTAAATCATGACACTAACTGTAAATAGGTAGAAACTCAATGGATCCATTGGTAACCTACATTTATTAAACAATTTCTTAGTTGTACTAAAGTTAATTATAGAATGAAGAAGCGGAGACAAGATAAATCCAAAGGATTACACAAAATTACTGATAAAAACGAGGTAATATGTTCTAAAAAGTAATTCTTATTTGTCATCTCATTTAAAAAAAACAAAAAAAAAAAAATAGAATGAGTAAGTTAACTTTTATCAAGCTACAAAAGTAAAGTACTCACTCATTTTGCCCCCTGGACCCATAAGTGATAAGGTAACTTCTGACAATAGAGATAATGTGTTTTTTTGTGTAAAGTGGGCTATACATGGATGTATCAGGTTGGAATGATAAATCAGAGAGTTGAGTCCAATTTCCAATCAATTTCATTACATACATTTACACATGAATACCATTGGGAAAGGTATGAACCCATCTCTTCTCCCCCCCTCCCCCAATTATGTGTTGAATAGTAGGAAAGACTGGCTCCTACTGAAATGGCAACCTACTGCAGGAAAATCTTTTGCCCTGTCAGTCATGAATTGAAAGAATTCCCAAACTTCCAGTCAAGTGGCACATGATCCCAAAGTTTTTATTCATTTATTTATTTGCTTAACTTCTATCTACTTGAGACTTACAGTCATACTATTTGGTACAATACTTTGTTTGTGATTCTGTAGTGCCATCTCATAATGTTCAATGAACGGTGTTCACAACAGTTTTCTTTAATTTGTATACAAAGCTTTTTGTGTACAAAATAAATGATCTTGATCTTGCTCTGAATGACACCTTGATTCAACAAACTTACAACAAATGGCAACTATTTAAATACAACATGATAATCAACAATGCCATTTTAGTTGATTGATATTTAATTAGAGTAAACAAATACTTACCACGCCTTCTGGATCGATAAGTAACAAATGCTTCACACCCCCAGTATGCCGACCACTAAGAACATACTGGCCTTGTGTTGTGGTGCTCTCCCTTACTAAGAAGTCTCCTTCTTGTTCAAGCAACATTTCAGACTAAAAATTAAAAAAAAAATTTTTTATATATAATATATATTGTTGTAACCAAGGGAGGTTACTGAATAGAATAATTACATGAAGGTCAGTAATAAATGATAATACTTAGGACAAGAAAAACACATTTAAGATTTGCCAGTAGCATGTAGAAGTAGTAGTCAACTGCTAGAAGTGAGTCAAGTGAATTCCACAATGAATCTCAAACTGCAGACCAACATACAGTATTTACCACTGTATTCATGTGAATGGTAACATACGCATTATTGTCCGTAGGTATGCTACAACATTATATATATATATATATATATATATATATATATATATATATATATATTGTGTGTATTTAGGCAGCATCTTTTCATTCATACACGTTTCATTAAATAATATAGACAAGTGTTGTCTATTTTATGTAAATTTTTTTAACGTCTAATAAGTTTAATAACTAAATCTAGTATATCCAACTTAATTCTTCGCAATGATTCTTCTCCCTTGGTTAGCGACTTGCAAAAAACCAACATAGTTTATAAATTCAAGTGTCCTTTGGGAGAGTGTATCTCCAACGAATTAAATAATATTTATGTTGGTCACACCACAAACTCGCTTTCATGACGCTTGACTCTACATTTGAATGAAACATTTTTAGGCATTTAAAACAACATGCCTGCCTGCACGCACAATTCTGTAAAATACTTGTCGAAAACACAATTGTACTTCGACATGAAAACAATAGACAAAAACTAAAAATCCTTGAAGCATTATACATCAAACAGTTGAAACCCAACCTAAACAAAATCAATTATGGCATCTCTACAAATATTCTTAAATGTCTATAATTGGTAACAGAAGCCATTGGTTTATACCAACGGCTTTCCATACTTCATACTTCTCCAATTCACTCTCGTGTGGTCATGTGTGACGTCATGAGATGCAGTGCGATTTTCATTTCTAGCGTCTTATATGCACATGTTTATTGTTGCTTAGAAATCATCTATGTAAACAGTGACAGACTATCATCACTGTTTTGTCTGTATATTGCTTAATAAGTTGTAATTGACATCTTTGATAATGGCTTAAATAAGCCGAAAGCTTAGATTGTATTAAAAAAAAAATATGGATCAATATTGTGAATTTCTTTCTTCATCCAACGATAATGTTATTAAACTTATTAGACGTTACAAGAAAATTTACATAAAATAAATAGACAACACTTGTCTATATTATTTAATGAAACATGTATGAATATATATATATATATATATATATATATATATATATATATATATATATATATATATTTTTTCTTAAAACAGGAAACATTTTATTAATAAAAAATCTGATAGAAAATGGCTATCCCTAAGGTGTTATTAAAAAAAGAGTAGACTTAAAATTTCTAAGTTTCATGAAATTAAAACATTTGATCCCCTTAAGTGTCCTGTTTACATGAGATCTCCATGTATTGGCTCTTTTAGTCAATCTTGTACTGATAAGATCTCAACTGTCATGCACTGCTTCAACTCTGTAGTAGTACGGAACATCTTTTCTGCTTTCCCATCTGTCCATAAGGATGTCTTGCCCACCAATCAACAAGCTCTGTTATTTATCATTTTAAATGTCAGTGTGAGGCTGACTATATGGGTAAGACTATTCAGTGGTTGGAAGTGTGGGTGGTGCAGCACATGCCTGGCTTCATACAAAGACATGCTCCATTAACATCCAAGCATGAGTCCGGTATCAGTGAGCATTTAATAAGTTCTTTCACTCGTGGGTCCAATTATTCAGCAGATTTCTTTGTTCTGCAAAGATCTTGGGCAAGACACCATTTTAACACCTTGGAGGCAGTTGTTGTCAACACATATCGTCTGACTCTGCATAGGCAGAGGGAGCTGAAACATAAGTTGGCACTCTTCACTGAGTCTTTGCCATGTTCTGGGCACATTATTTTTTTTTTTCCTAGCTTCTCCTTTGTCTCTTTTAATGCTATTGCAAGGATGTTTTTGACCTTTCAGTAGTTTCTCTTGATTCCAATGATTTTCCTTCTGACAAAGCATTGGATGAAATGTAACTTAAAATTTCTATTTTTAATCGAGTTGATACTTTTCTATCAGAATTTTCCTTAATAAAATGTTCCCTGCTTTAATTATATTATTTGGATGGTGTGGCACCAAAAATATGTTTATATATATATATATATGTATATAAATAAAAAGAATGTATATAAATAAAAAGAAAGAACAGTAAGATATAAAATCCGGTGTTCTTATAGATATTTTTATTTTTACAAAATAGTGCTCAATGTAAATTTACAGAGCATTAATATTATAAATTAATTGATTTAAAATATGTTTTTTTTAATTACACAGTTCCAACCAAAAAATAGAAGCTAAATTCGGGTTTTTAGCTTCTATTTTTGAAACATGGTTGGAACTGTGTAGCTAAAAAAAAAAAAACATATTTTAAATCAATTAATTTATAATATATATATATATATATATATATATATATATATATATATAAAAACAAACATGTAAACTTACAATTTACTCTGTCTTTCTACATCTCAATCAATAACCTGTCACCTGCCAACAAGTGGCTCAGAGCTGACTTACTGTTATTCTGCATATATTTTAAAAAAGAGAGAGAATACATAAACGTTTTTGGTTGTAATGTGGATTATTTTTGAAAAAATAAAGCATAATAATTTTTTAAAAAAATCCACATTACAACCAAAAACGTTTGCGGTACCTCTCTTCTTTTTAATATACACACTTTTCTCTTGTTGGAATCACTATAACCTCTTTCTTTTATATATAACAATAAAAATAAGCCTATAATCAGAATTCCTTAACTTCCAGTCAAGTGGCACATGATTTCGAAATTTTCATTCATTTATTTGCTTTGCTTACCTTCTACCTAATTGTGGACAATTTCTAGATTTTACTGTCTACATAGTCATAAAACTCAGCCCAGATAAAATCATTTTGGGTTTACTTAATTTCATGTGGATTATAAGCCAATTCAAATTGGAACCCATTATGTTTTTCTTGCCAGAGAAAATTATTTACAAGTTGATCTTGAATGAACAATTTTTTTTCTCATAAGAGAAAAACTGTCTTGTGAATTTGGTGTCATTGTAATGAGTTCAATTCCTGGGCTGGGTAGGATGGAACTGGCAGTAACTGAGCAGTACTAATAAAGAATGAGATAAGATATTTTACAGAGACAGTCAGACAAAAACGATCTATTCATATAGATTAAATAAAAGTCTGAAATTCCTTGAAGGTTACTTAGATTGACAGTCACCAGAATAAGGCTATCGGACTCAATGGCTGAAACATTGTGATAACAAAGATTAAGACATTAGTCTGAAGGTACATAATAACTCCTCATTTTAGAAATTCAAATCAGTATTAACCCAATGTGATATACCAATATGATAGAAAAAAAAAAGAAGTTAAATTATTTAATAAAAAATAAAAATTTCAGAAAAAAATGAACACATTTGAATTTTTGGACTAAAGACTTTAGAAGTATTTTTGATAAGGAAAAATATTATTTTAGACTGAAAATTTTAGTGATATGATTTCAAGTAATTTTCTAAAGAAGTAATGAATTTTTCATTTATTAATCCGACAGATTTTATCACTTTTAAACATAATTTTTTGTAGTGGATACTCATATTTGGTAAACACTGTTTATTTATTAAATAATATATTTATTTTATCTACCAAGGAATTTTGCATAAAGGCACTATTTACACTTGCCTGACTGGCTAAATTCTCTGTAGCTCAGTCAATTAGTGTACATCAGATCTAATGATGGTTTTCTCTGCCAAGGGGAATGTATATTTTTTTTAATAAGATTTCTTGAATATTCAAGATGGTAGATGAAAAAAAAAATATTGTTTAATAAATATTTGTAGTATCTACTCAAATATGAGTATCAACTAAAAAATAAAAATAACATTTAAAAGTGAGAAAATGATTTAAAGTTTAATCAGTTATTTAGTTGAAGCTCTCAATTGGCCACTCATTTAGTATAGTTCAGTACAGATTAAGACAAAATACTATTTAGCACTGGTAATCAAATGATCATCATTATTTCAATGTACTTAATGTTTTAAGGATCTAAAAAACAAAGTGTGCCTCATGTTAACAAAATGTAACTCACATCTTTTCGACTGAGGGGTCCATGATACCATTCCTCATAGACTGGAGCTAACACAGCAGGTGTCTCACCAGAGTTGACCGTTGTTGCCTGCAAGCTTTCTTCAGGGGCTGGGGCAGGGGGTGGAGGCTGAGTCACAGACTCATTCAGAAGACAAGTCTCAAAAGGTTCTGAAAGATAAAAAAAAAAGCACTCACATAATTAACATAATCATTATTTCTATAGACCATTAGGACTAAATGTTGACTATATACAAATAACTGGCCTGGCAACTTCGAAACTGTCTGAAGAATAGTGAAGCCTTAGAATGGATTATCAAATAAAAGAACCCTGGCAAACAACTACAGACCAATCATTGATGGATAAATAGCTGAGAAAATTAATGGAAAGCAGAAGACTTTTATTGGAAGAGCAGAAAAGTTGCAATCAAATGACCTGCTCTACATGTACTATATTTATTCTGAAATAAGTAAAATCAAAAAGAAAGATACCTATAGAAAGGCATCCCATACAGCTCCATACTGTATATACTCAAGTATAGTGTGAGATTTTATGATCATTTTTTTCACCAAAAAATAGGGTGTTGCACTATACACATATAAATCTTTTCTGGTGGGGTTAAAATTCATGCAGAAAAATTCAAGGGTTGCATTATATATGAAGTTGGCTTATACATGAGTATATACCAGGGGTGACCAAACCACAGCATGTGAGCCACATGCAGCTCTTTGACCTTTAATATGTGGCTTGTGGAAATATGTTTGCTGAGTTGCTTTTTTTTTCTAACAGTTAATATAAAAGGTAAATAAAAAAATTCAATTTGTTCATGTCTTGCGGCTCTGAAACATCTGAACTTGACATTAAACATAGTCTTGAAAAACTGCAAAGGATACCAATTCTCTAACACAGGAGGAAATTTCAACAACATTACATACATGGATGACTTAAATCTCTTTGCAAAGGTCCTTCTCACTCCTGTTGGAGGAACCACTCCCTAATTGACCATGTTTTCAGAGGTGTAATTGTACTTGCCACGCTTGGCCTATTGTCAGTTGGTGGGACTATTTCACTCATAGTTGAGGTTTTGAATTCAGTTGTCCTTCTCCTAGACTGGTTGCCACCCAAGGCTATAGAACGCAGTCTGTCCTGCTATTTACCAATAGTTGGCATGAGAAGAGAAAGATTCATACCTTTCCTAAGGGTATTTTCATCTAAGTTAGTGTAACAAACTTGATTGCAATTTGGACTCAGCTGTTTATTTCATTTTTATTTTATGATCTGATTAAAAGCAATCTAAATGATTACGAAACATTGATTTTTATATAGCTGTTTCCATAGCAACCTTCTTGAATAACATCTACTTACCTAAAGTGTGTATAATACAGTTATGTGCCATATGTTATACACACTCGGTCGATCATGTCTCTTTCAATTCATGACTGACAAGGCAGAAGATTTTCCCACAGTAGGTTGCTATTTCAGTAGGACCCAGTCTTTCCTGCTATTCAACCCATAGCTGGGAGGAGAAGAGATGGATTTATACCTTTCCCAAGGGTATTTGCTTGTAAGTGAATATATCAAAACTGACTGGATTTCATACTTGACTCTCAGATTTATCATTCTGAGTCTATATACATTACACCACAATGCACATCCATGTATAGCATCCTATATAAAAAAAACATTATCTCTCATCAGAAGTTACCTTATTAGTCACGGGTCCAGGGGGCCTAATGAGTGAGTACTTTACTTTTGTAGCATTGCATCAGAGTTGATAAAAATTGGCTTACTCTCTCCTTTTTTTTTTTTTTTTAAATGAGATGACATTTTAGAACATGTTACCACATTTTTATCAGTACTTTTGTTTTATTGTAAGGATTTTTCTTTTCACTTCTTAATTTAGACTGCATGCATTTAAGGAAAAAGTGTTTCATTTGAATATTTAATAAGAGGGGTGATCTGAATAAGGATGTCCTAGGTGGATGTTTTTGTTTTTACAAAAAATGAATAATTGTTCCAGTCCATCCTTTTTTTTTTTACAATGATGTTCTCCCTGTACAAGGCCTAAGAGGCACTTGAAGTAGAGGGTTACAGAGTAAGAGGCACAGTTTGTGGGGAAGTTAACAGTTGATCCTAGATTTGAACGGGTTAAGATTATAGTGATCGGGAAAGTTAACCTCTTGGAAGTTAGTTCCACAAAGCATTAGTTTGTGGGAAGAAGGTGCTGGAGGGGAAATTACATCTCACCAAGGGAATATGAAGGGAAGGTGGTTCACTACAATGTGCATGACATAGTGGATTTTAGCTGTGTCAGTTAGAACTGGTGGAACTAAGGAATGTAGTTTATCTGAATACTTTCCATTATAGCATTAGAGCAGTGAGAGACTTGCGACATTTTGTCTGTAAGAAAGGGATTGGAGGGTAGAAAATAATTTGTTCATCTATTTGAAACTCAAATGTATTTTTTCTATGTTTTGTATGGGTTTTTCAAATACATAATATCTACAATCTATGGTCAGTTATAATAGAATTAACTTTATAAAAACATGGAAGGGAAAATTTGGGCCACTTGGATTTAGCAAGTACACTAAACTACCTAAATGAAAAAGTCAAAAAATTAGTTTTGAAATACAGCAAAGTATTTTGCTTATTGGAAATATTAAATTTAATCTATTAGCTTGAAATTAAAACTAAAAGCTTCAAGAAAAATTTTTCATTTTTAAAAATTAATTTTAAACCTGAGGTACCACGAATCTATGAAAGTACCTACTTTTATAGATAAAAACAAAGGCTTCTGTAATGCTTAACATAATGCTTACCTACTTTTATAGATAAAAACAGTCTTCTGTAATAAAAGCAATGCTTAACAAAATATGTTTTAAATTCAGGCTTTTATTGTTGAGCAAATATCTCTGAGGAGTTTAACAAACCTCAAAATGGCACATCATATCTAAAACATTATTCCTCCTCAGAATGAAAAAAATGAAACCTGAGCAAAAAAGAATTTAGCAGTATTATTGAGAATGTTACAAGTGCAGCATTGTAACAAATCATACTCCTGGGTTACAAAATACCTGCCTTGTTTTGAGCAAGAAATACTGGACATGAGAGTCAAATAAAATAATATTTATCATTTTAATTTTCTTTAAATTATGACCTTGAAAATTGAAAACACAAGATAGGCAGGTGGCCAAGATGGATTTGTAGCTTTCCTTTTTGGCATGTCCCTAGCGACTTTCTGGTGCAGACTGGCTTGAATGACTTTTTTTTTTCATAGCATACTCCCTCATTCACAAATGCAAATGAAGCTGCATATCTGTAAATGTGCATGCATGACAAACACATATGACGCCAGCTTGAAGATAGTCTTTTAGGCTGATTGTGCCATGATACTCTCATATCCAACCACCTACTGTATAATATTTTCTTTAGAAATTTGAGTAATCAAAACTGCAGAATCCTTGTGTCCACTTCACCACATCATAATCTGGTGGCCATAACATACCATGTTACACACAGCAAAAACTGTGCTTTCCAAAGATTACATATCAATATACATACGCATGTCAAAGGGGTCAAGTGCTCCATTAGTCCAACCGGCTTCTGGTGGAGTCTCAACAAAGTCTGGGGCTTGCTCTGCAGGGTTAGCTTCTAAAATATCATCAGCAGTTCCAAAAAGCGGGATGGAATTCATGTTTGCAAATGCAGCAAGCGCTGAGGAAGAATAAAATATTTTCATATAATCAGATATATTTACAGTTTAGAAGGCAATTTCATTCCATCTCATCAATATTCACTTATTAAATTATGAGGAAATAGACTTACAATTAATCATGCAAATGCACTTGGATTTTTTTTTTATCAAATTCACCCCAAGCAAGGCAATAAAATTACTAAGACAAAGAATTAGAAAACAGAAACATTATTAAGGAGTGGGAACAATAGAAGAGTAATCTCCAGGAAAGTGACGTGTTGCATCTTCTCAGTCTAACATTCTCAGCTGACATGATGTGGAAAGACTATATTGAATTCTTTGCGAGGTCAGCTGCTAAGAAAGTTGGTTCACTGTGTCATGCGAGACAATTTCTCTCACCAGAATCTATCATACATATCTATAAGTTTACTATTCGTTCATGCTTAGAATACTGCTGTCACTTATGGTCTGGTGCCCCTGCTATTTATCTAGAGCTCCTTCATAAAATCCAAAGAAGAATCAGCAATATTATTGGTCCTGATCTGGCAGTGCAGCTTCAGTCACTTTCCCACCGACATAAGGTTGCCTCCCTGTAGCTTTTTTATAAATACTTTCATGGTAATTGTTTGGATGAACTCATTACTATGGTACCTAGACATTTTGATTTTAAGTGCAGTACTAGACTGTCATTGAGATCTCATCAATTTATTGTTGAGCTGGCGAGATGTAACTGTAAATTCTATTCTAACAGTTTCTTTTCTCACACTTCTTGCTTGTGGAACTCCCTGTTGGCTCCATGCTTTCCAGCCAACTTTAACTTGAAAAAATTTAAATGCAATGTCAATTGCTGTTTACTGTCCTCTGGATTACTCTTTCCTCTTCCCACTCATTATTAGTGTTTCTGTTCCTAATTCTTCCCCATGTGTCTTTACTGCCTTGCATGGGGTGATATGGATTAAAAAAAATAAATAATCAGGAAGACAGCAGATAACAACTGACACTGCATTTAAATTTTTGTAGATCAAACTTAACTGGAAAACATGGAGTCAGAAGAGAGTTCCACAAGTGAGAAGTATGAGAAAAGAAACTGTTAGCATAGAACTTATGGTTACATCAAATCAATTCAAGTGTAAATTGATCAAACTGTGTTGCCAATCTAGTACTGAGCTTAGATTCATAAAGTCCAGGTGTCATAGCAAAGAGTGATATTTATATCTGCTTATTTACAGAAAATGTGGCACAAGGCCAAAAATAGGGATTGGGGAAAAGGACGGTCATCTCCTGTCTTAACTTTAAACTTAACTAGCCACAAACACTGACCCAAATATACCACACTATTCCTAACACCAAAGCAACGCATTCTTACTTACCTTCTTACTACATCCACCATAATACCTCATTGTCTCTATGAAAATCCTAACTAGTTTCCATATTTACAATTCATTGTCTGTGGGGGGAGGGGAATAAAATAACAATTTAAAATCTAAACCTCAAAGCATAGCAAAGAGCTCATTCGAATAATTACCATGAATGTATTTATAGAAAAGCCACAGAGAAGAAACTTTGCAGCAGTGGGAATGTGACTTAAGCCAAGATACCAGGTGAGGACCAATAATATTGCTGATTCTTCTTTGGATTTTATCAAGAATCTCTAAAAAATTTTTACAGAGCCTCAAATTACCTTTTATATTTTGTTGTTTTAAAAATCACATATAGTGTGTGTGTGTGTGTGTGTGTGTGTGTGTGACTTTGCATGTGCATATGTTATGTATATATGTATGTTTGTGTTGTGTATGAGTGGCTTACATGTCCTTGTACCATTTAATGTATGCACAAGCACAATTTGACTGAGTTTGAAATAAAACATTGGAATAATTCTTCTCTAAATAACAATTATCCTGGGCTAAGCAAAAAAAAAAAAAAATTTTAAACTGCCCCACAAAAATATGAGAAGATTTTATTGAATTTTTCAGAGATTACCCATAATATTAGGTATTAATATTTGAAATTTTTTTCTTTTTAAATTTGTGGAAATATTTTAGGACTATCATTGAGTTAAAATATACATGTACATAAGAGTATGAAAATGAATGCACACATTTTGAATAGAACTGAAATGGTCATCTGTGTGGTGAGAGTTAATTTCCCCACTTATATTTAGCAATAACACATGGGTAACATCAGGGCCAGTGCATACTACCATCTAAATCTCCAGACCCTGGCAAGCCTTACTGGAGGCCCTGGGCAGAGCTTTGTGATCCCACTATCTTATCAACATTTACTTTTTCCTATCTACATTTACATATGTTACAAATTAAACTAAGCCCAACTGACGATTAAAAGATTAAAATTTTTTGCAGATTTTGACATCATTCTGTATTTTTTTTTTATCCAAATCCATGAATTTGTTTTGCTCATGCTAAGTCTAAAAAAAAAAACAACACTAGATAAAATTCACTATTTTTTTTCCATAATATTGAATGTGCTAAAATTATTTAACTTTTAACAAGAAAAATCTCAAGCTGATGTTAAAAATTGCCAAAAACAATTGTTGATTTATTTAAGAGGGAATTATCTATTATGACGTTTCTAATTTCTATTTAGATAGATTGTATTTTTTTTAAATTTTTCTAGTTGAATTGTTCACTTATATTGTATATGATCCATTATTGTACATAATCAAATTACAATAAAATTTGTATTTTATATGAATACTACCTTATGAAAATTACGATATACTAGAGTGAAGTGGGTGTGGCCGTATTATAAATGGGGGTTTATCATAGATTTCCTGGGTGGGGGAATAATATCCATGCACCATCCCTGGGTAACAGGAAAAGAATACAAACTTAAATATGCAGCCCTTTAAGTCATCCATATTTAAAGTGAATCTATTTTATAACAAATGTAGTATTTTAAATGGAGAAACAATTTAGATTTGATATTTGATCATCTTGGTGTTATTAGAGCAACAAGTACCGAATTAGTGCAACAATAAAATTACAAATGTCTTTAAATGTTTTAAAAAAATGTCTAGTATTTACATTAGTCGGACTATTGTCCTCATCTTTGTCGCCATATTTGTCACAACGTTTCGGCCGTTGTATGCTCCGCCTTCTTCAGGTGGTTGGAATTTCGAAGAAGGCCGGAGCGCATAAACGGCCGAAACGTTGTGACAAATATGGCGACAAAGATGAGGACAATAGTCCGACTAATATAAATACTGTACATAATACCTCATCTCAGAAATATATACAGACTCTAAAAAAATGTCTGTTGGTAATAAGCGACAAGATTAAAAACAATTACAAGAAGAATTGTGTGCAGTTAATAATAAAAGTTTAAATGAACAAAATGTGGCAAAGAGAAAAGGTAAGATGATTCAGTTTTGAATAATGGAAGCTGCAATCAGTATATTTTGTCATTACTTGGTTTTTATTTTGTAAACAACAAAGGAAAAGTATAACTTACATTTGGGTCTATCGTACAGGTCCTGGCCTGTTGGATCAGACAGATCAACCAATAGGCCCTCAGTGCTGTTATTGTAATCATTATTCCGATTTTTATTTACAGTTGAATATAATCCCTCTGGAACCTAAAACAGACAAAAACGAAATAGAAATATTCTTAAAAAATAAAATTAAATTAAAAAATCTATTGAAATAAGTGGCTGCAAAAATGGAATTCCAGAATAAATTTATCGAGTCCTGACATCCATAACATCCACACATTGGATACAATGTATCGGATATTTTTGAGCTTTTTGGAGAAAAAGAAATAACTCTTACAGGCCCCATATATATAGTGGAACCACGACCTATGAATCTAATCTGTTCCAGGAGGGGGATTCGTAATTGGAAATTTCGTATGTTGAAACAATTTTCCCCATTTAAAATCAGTTCATTTCAAACCCTAAAAATACTGATATAAAAATCGTATTTTATGCAAAATTAAAGTACTTTTTTTTAAAATATTATACACAAATAATGTAAATAAATATATCACTGTGACTCCTTCCCAGGCTTTATCAATAAGATTTAAGCAATTTAGGACACTGAAGTGATCCTTCCAAAATTCTCTTAGGGTCAGGTTTGTATTTTCAGTCACTTCAAAACCCTGATGAAATTAGGCAGTTTTATCAGAGCTCACAGCCTCTCCATGTCTCACTACACTGTGGATGCTGGCTCTCTTAAAATTTTTAAAATCATCCTCGGCTTGTCTTAAATGCATTTTCATCTTCAGAAGACATGCCTGGTACCTTTTTGATAGGATCCACGTACAGTGCCCTTCGCTTTGCATATGTAATATCTTCAGACACAGAATCACCTTGTAGCTGCCACTCATTCATCCGCACCAACAACAGCTTCTCAACATCTTCTAGGGGTTTTGGATGATGCTTGGTAATTATGTTAACTCCCCTGGATACATCAAGCTTTTTTATTTCTATCTTGTTCTTTAGGATTGTGCAAATTGTTGATGCTGAACGTCCATATAGATTGGCAAGGTCAGAAACACGGGTACCTTCTTCATGCTTCTGAATGATCTCCTTCATTAGCATGGATATTTTTCCCTATTTGTAGCAGCAACCAGTTTCTTGAGTGACATTGTAGGCTACATCAAAAAGTTAGCCATTAAAATTTAAAATTTATTGTACATGTACAGTTATGTTAAACTGTACAGTACAGTAACTGTATGGAAAACTGTAAAGGAACAAGCTGCGGTGATATGTACCATGCAAATCAATCTGAACTGGATGCATAGTTTATTTTACTGCATAGTTTACGTGCTGTACCTGCATTTTATTTTACTCCAACTTTATACACTTTTTTTTTTTTTACATATTTCTACTGTACTATACGGATATCAATTTAAAATTGAATGATTATACACTGTATATTAGACTAAAACACACTTTACATTACATAGAGATTAAACGAAATGAACTTGTATTGTCACATTTTACCTCCTTTTAATTCAATAAATTTGAATAACATTCACATGTTACTGTACTGTACAGTAATGTACATGTACTGTATTCATTACTGTACATAAATTTTTGTACATTCTTAATTCTTTTTACACTTACACTAATATAATCACAAATATGCATACACTACAAATGTTTATTCTACAAGGTAATAAAGAGGACTGAGTGGGATGATGCAAAGCTTGTAGCATCACACTACATCTCGTGTGATGGAACTGTATAGAAATATGTTATGATATAATAGTATATACTGTATATAAAATATATTATAATGTAATAATATACAGTGTATATAAAATATATTATAATGTAATAATATACACTGTATATAAAGTATAAAAATAAAAAAAATACAGTATAAAATATATCTGCAAATATTTAGTAGAGTACAGTATAAAAATACAGTATAAATAAGTATTGTAATACTGTATAATACTACAGTATTATATTATTATATATAAAATATATAATATATAAAACATAAAAATATAAAATACATTATATTTAGATAAGATCAAAAAATATTTACAGTACATTTATGTCAAATATCTAGTTTGAAGTGCTGTGACGGAAAGCCCATTCTTAATTTTCTAAGTTGAAATTAATTCATAAGTGGAAATGAATTTTCTTACAAATTTTTGTTCATATAGCAAGTTTTTTTGCAAGTGGAGGTGTTCGTAAGTTGAGATTCCACTGTGTGTGTGTGTGTATATATATATATATATATATATATATATATATATATATATATATATATTGTTGTCAGCACCCACTCACATCCGAATATTGTAATCGTTATCCTCTCTCTCTATTCCTTTTCTCTTCTCTGGTGGCAGAAATGGCTGTGAATCAAAGCGATTTTGATGAAGCCATTCACATGAATTTGATTTTGGTGGACAACTCTGTGCAAGGGAGAAGCCCACACTCTTGGCCAAAAATGCTTCCCTCATGACTCACAGGCCAGATCTGTCAAACCTGGTTGCATCGCGTTGTCGGATGCTTAGTCTGTCAAGGTTTACCTCGGTTAGGCCAGCTCGACTGGTGCTGCCCTCTTCCACTGGCTTGGCCATATATATAAAATTATAAAGCAGTTATTGGTCGGCGCTGAATTAGTCCAGGAAATAGTAGTATTAAAAAGTGCTCAATACATGTATAAAGAAAATAAAAATTTAACATGTAGAGCTATTAGGTAAAAAAAAAAAAAATTAGGAGATCAGCTAGTCATGCTACTCTGGTTTCAACCTTTCTGTATCTTCGGGCGATTTGGATCAAATGATTTCCTAACACCTTATTATTTATAAATAGACACACAATATGAAGTGTAATAGAAGGGGAGGAGAAAAGTAAGATTATTGAAATTGTATTGGAGGGAGATTAAATAAAATGTACATAATTTAACCCCCTCCCCTCATACAATTTCAATACTCGTTTTTCTCCTCCACCTCTATTACATTTCACGTTGTGCGTTTATTTATAAATAATAAAGTGTTAGGAAATCATTTGGTTCAAATCACCTGAAGTTACTGAAAGGTTGAAACCAAGGTAGTGTGATTGGCTGATCTCCTAATTTTTTAAACTATATAACTACACCAATAAGTACAAAATCAATTATGATATATATTGCTGTCACATCTGGCCTGGTGTTTCTATGTATTGAGAGATTTTACAAAAAGAATCTACAATGTTATCAATCCTGACTTGATAACTCGGCTTCAGTCACTTCCCACTTTAATGTACCAGCTCTGTGCTTTTTCTATAAATATTTTCATGGTAATTGTTAACTTTCCTATTTGGTACCTAAACTTTAAGTGCAGTACTAGACTGGCAGCTAACTCTCATTTTATAATGGAAATGGTTAGATGTAGCCATAAGTTCTATGCTAACAGAATTTATATGCAATGTCAATCATTATCTTCTGTCTTCTTAATTCCTGTTCTTTTATCGTTCTCTCTTCTTTATGATGTTGCTCTTTCTCATATTCTTTCATACTCAGTAACCCCTTGCATCTTAGTGGCTTTATTGCCTTGCTTGGGGTGAAATGATTAAAAAAAAAAAGAAGTTATTATTTTACACATGTAATCTCCTTTGTCAAGGTAATTAACCCTATGCTTTTCCATAACTCACACAGAAATTGAACATTATGCAGAGACAATTCCAATTCCAACTGTTCTGGACTATGAATTTATTGATCACCATGAGTAAGAGAGAGAGAGGGAGGGAGAGATTAAAACATGCAAGAAGAAATGAATAGAAAAATACAGTAAGAATAAAAGTTAAACAGGAGGGCATCAAGAGAAAATGACTGCAAGAAAAAAAATAAAAGGACAAGAATAAAACATACAATGGATGAAAAGAAAAAAATAAACAAACCAAAAACATGAAGAATGAAAATAGAAAAAAATTTAATCAACAAAATATTAAATAAGTGAAAAATCTTAAATAATAGGAAGAAATAAAAAATAAATACTTTTTTTTTTTATTTAAGAATGAAAAAAAAAAAAAGAGAAAAAAAATCATGAAGAAAAATGATTATGAAAAAGAAAAACCTAGATGAAAACTTACTGTGGATGTGTGATTGCTTGGAGCAGAATAATTTGGAAGTGGTGGTATCTCTGGAGGCACTGGAGAAGGTGCAAATGCCCCAGGACGATCATTGTAATAATCCACTTCATCTTCCCATGCTTCTCCATTAAACTGTGAATCTGTCCTACAAAATGCAGAGAAGAGTTACGATTTTTTTAATCATATTTCCAAGATTGTTTTTATTTTCCATTTCCTCTGTTATGACAGATTTTTTTTTTTTAATTCCTTTTGGAGACATGTTTGTAATAGAAAAATGGAAAAAAAAACATTATTTTCAAAATTAAGGTGGTTATTCTGAAAATTTTATAATTCTTTGCTTGACTGGAAAATCTGGAAATATTTGCTGGAAAAAAATTCATTATCTAAATACAATGAAAACTTTAGATTTAAGAGAATTATTAATTTTGGTTCATTTTTTGAACCGAACAGAAGATTTCAAAATATTTATGTAAAACAATGGGAATAATAAGCAGGACCAGTGCATACTACACCTTAATCCCCTGAGTGGGGATGATGTGCAAGTCTGATTGGGGGCGCCAAGCAGTGCTTTGTGACCCTTGATATCAACATTTGCTTTTTTTTATACTTACATTTATATACATTACAAATTAAACTAATCACAACTGACTATTAAAGGTATTAAAGGATAAACAATTTTTGTGGATTTTGATGTCATTCTGGGGTCTTTTTTCATCCAAATCCGATTGATTTATGCCGTCAATACCACTACATAAAATGGTGACCCCGAATACAAATGTGCGTGGAAATTTGATAAGAGACTTACTCAGATTTCACATTGGCAACTCTGACGTTTGTACCGACGTTTAAAAATATGAATCACCACATTAGACCCAACTTAACTGGTATCCTAACTCCGCGTCGAAGAGATATTAACATTATGGCTGAGCAAATCGATGCACACACAGAAGCCACAATAACTGTGAATTTGCCAGCTTACAACAGTATCAACGTGCAAGTTTCACACAGTTAACGGCTATATTCAACACAAAGAGGATAACTTCACAAACTTCCCGACATGCTTACGTTGTAGAGAAGCTACCGACGGAGGTAGCGATTGAGGTTTTGGATCTCCTGGATGAGATGCCATCTGATAAACCTTATGATACCCTAAAAGAAGCTATACTCCATAGAACTGGTCAATCTGAGGAAGAAAAGCTGCGTGACCTTTTTAATAACTTAAGCTTGGGACAAAGTAAACTGTCACAACTTCTGCGTAAAATGCGGGTACTGTTAGGAAGCAACACAATGTCTGACACAGTGTTAAGACAGCTTTGGTTGGACAAACTTCACGTGAACACCACCCAAATTTTGGCTTCCCTCCCAGATGAAATTGAACTACAAAAACTAGCTGAAATAGCTGATAAAATAGCTGATAACCAGCCAGCTAGTCCTGTGTATACTGCAACCCAGAGACAGCCAGTAGCATCGGTGGATGACGCAGACGACATGTATAAACTTAGTAACAGGTTAGCACAACTTTCTATTCAGGTACAGGATATTCAGAAGTCTATGCAACAACAGAAATGCAACTTCACTAATCAAATTCCTCCTGAATCACGACGACGTAGACACAGATTGTTGTCACGAAATAGGGAAAACTATCAGAACAATGTATGTTGGTATCATGCTAAGTTTGCCCACCAGGCACATAAATGCCGTAAACCTTGCAGGTTTAGCGCGAATTTCTTTGGCAGTAGATTGACACAGCAAGCGGGAAATGACGTTCCCGGCAGCAAGTGAAGACGGCGTTCGCTACTGGGGAAAAAATATTAACCGTCTTTTTTATGTTAAGGACGCCAATTCTGGTTACCTATTCTTGGTTGACATGGGCGCACAGGTTAGAGTGATTCCGCCTACAACAAACATGGTGACCAAAGCTACATCATACAACCTCTAAGCTGCCAATGGTTCTCGAATAGAAACCTATGGTGAAAAATCATTTACATTAGATCGTTCACTTGGGTATTTACCATCGTGCAAGTAAAGTCACCAATTCTAGGAGCTCATTTCCTGGCCCATTTTAAACTCAATGTGAACATGTCTTCCCGATCCTTAGAAGGTAAACATACTGATATTGCAATTAAGGGAATTACTTCAAAATTGACAACGGCAGGTATCAGTACAACCTTACTCACTGCCAACGGTCTTCAACATTTATTATGGAAATACCCAGAAATTCTGACACCATTCAACTATATGGAACCAATCTTACACAACGCGGAACACAGGATACAGACAACTGGTCTTCCCGTGCATTCACCTCCGCGGCGTTTACATCCCGATAAATATAAAAATGCTAAGACCGAGTTTCAGTATCTGTTGGACTTAGGGATAATCCATCCATCATCCAGCCCATACGCTTCTCCTTTGCATATGGTGTCGAAATCGGAGGCTGGAGCTTGGAGACCATGCGGTGATTTTCAGCGACTTAATGCTCAAACAGTCCCGACAAATATCCCGATCCCAAGATCTACAAGATTTTGCAATAACATTACAAGGAGCGTCAATTTTTACAAAGTTGGACTTGAGAAAGGCTTTTCACCAAATCCCTGTGGCAAAAGACGACATCCACAAAACTGCTGTGACTACACTGTTTGGTCTATTCGAGTTTACTAGAATGCCCTTCGGTCTAAGAAATGCAGCGCAGTCCTTCCAGCGACTTATAGACGAAGTACTGTGTGGCTTGCATTTCACATTCGCCTATACTGACAACGTTCTGATTGCGAGTAGGAACATCGAAGAACACACCGATCATGTGGAACAGGTTTTTCAGCAATTTTTCAGCACTTCGGACTTAAAATTAATCCTACTAAGTGTGAATTTGCTGTACCAAAGCTCATCTTTCTTGGTCATGAGATAGATGGGAAGGGGATTACACCTGTCTCTCATAAAGTCGAAACTATTCAAAACTTCCCACAACCAACTACATTTTGACAGCTACGTAGATTTCTTGGTTTAGTAAACTATTACAGACAATTCATACCTCATTGTTCGCAAGTGCTGATTCCGTTGACAACAAACTTGTTACAAAATCAAAGAAAGAGGAACAGCAAGATTATTCTAACTGACGATGCACTGTCAGCATTTAATAATACCAAGGAAGCCCTGGCTAATTACACCAAACTATCTTACGTTTTGGATAGTGAAGAAGCGACACTTACTCTTACTACGGACGCATCTGCTGATAGTGTGAGAGCCACTTTCATTCTTTTCCGTGAAATTGAATTCAGCACAACGCAAATATAGTGCTTTCTCACATGAACTGCTTGCTATATATCTATCTGTTCGTCATTTTCGACATCTGTTAGAGGGCAGGAATTTTATAATTTTCACTGACAACAAACCTTTAGTGTATACCTTGCACTCTAAAACAGATAAGTATAACCCTCGTGACATAAGACAGCTGGACTACATCGCACAGTTTACGTCTGATATTCATCGCATTAATGGGAACAACAACATCGTTGCTGACACCCTTTCTAGAGCTACTATGAATTCCGTCAAGTTACAGCCATTAGATTTTGAATCTTTAGTCAGAGAACAGCAGAGGGATGCCACCCTAGAAAAGGTGAAAAGTGACACATCACTGCGCATTGAGCAATGACCAATGACCAATTCCTTTCAGTGCGGCATACTTGTTTTGTGACGTTAGCACTAATCATCCTAGACCCTACGTGCCCCCTATTATGCACAGACAAATTTTCAACCATTTTCATTCTATGTCCCATCCAGGCCGTAAAGCGTCATCTAAACTTATTTCTGAGTGATTTGTCTGGCCAAACATGTCTGCAGACATAAAACACTGGATGTATTAAATGCCAGAAGTCAAAAGTTCAACAACACACCAGATCTCCTGGTCAGTTTTCTGCACCGGATGGTCGATTTAAGCATATCCACGTCGACCTCGTCGGTCCCTTAATGGAAGTAGACGGATATGAATACTTGTTGACAATAGTGGACCGTTTCACACGTTGGCCAGTGGTGGTACCCCTGCGATCAACCACCGCCAGTGTCATCGCACAAACGATCCTACATGAGTGGATAGCCACATTTGGATGCCCGTCTGTCATTACTACAGATCGTGGACCCCAATTCCAGTCTACCCTCTTCACTGGATTTACTAACCTGTTGGGTACTAAACATATAACAACTACGGCTCACCATCCGTGTGCAAACGGTTTGGTAGAAAGGTTTCACAGGCAACTAAAGGCAGCACTTACAGCTAGCGAAGGCATGATTGTGGATGGAGAGATTACCATTAGTAATGCTAGCACTGCATAGTGTTGTCAAGGAAGATTTAAAATGCACCACAGCTGAACTTGTTTTTGGGAGCCCACTTACACTCCCCGGTCAAATGATGGAAAAAGATGTGTCGACAAGACCATCTACATACTTCATTCAGGACTTGAAAGAACGCATGTCCAACCTCGTATTTACCCCAACGCACACATCAAATAGAGCAATTTTTGTACTGAAAACTTTGGAAAACTATGAGTTTGTATTTCTACGCAGAGATGCAGTTAAAATACCTCTCACACCAACATACTCCAGTCCTTTCCAAGTTATCTCCTGTGCACCGAAATATTTTACCATCTTGATCAATAATAAGACAAACACTGTCAGCATTGACAGGTTGAAACCTGCTTTCATTGATGCCGATAAGCATTCTTCAACCTCATTTGATCAAAATTCTTCCGCCCAGCAGAAGGATATTTGACCTGAAACTCCTCCAACAAAAACTACAACTAGAGCAGGCAGACATGTTCACTGGCCTACAAAATTTTCAAAGTATCATACATATTGAAATTTTTTTCTTTTCTCTTCAAACTTTCAATTTGGGGGTGGAGTATTTTAGCTTTACGCTACTACTTTTTCATCAATGTCGATTTTCGTGCTAAAAGCGGATCACAGCTTCATACATGTTTCTGAAAACCTGAACTTCTCATTGGACAATAAATATTAAAATTATCTCGTGTATCTTCACGTACATTATTCTCAATAAACAACACAAAACATATCAGGCTCCAGACTGAGTTTTGTAAGGCACTTTCTGAGTGGTTAACAGATATTAAAAAAACAATTTACCTGCTCACCACTACGTCC